GGAGTCGGGGCAGGGGGGGGGCGCGAGCACTTCCGGGCTCGAGGCTCGGGGCATTTCCTTGTTTGTCCGGTTGTCCCGACCGCATGTCGGTCGGGACGCGGGACAAACAAGGAAATATCGGGACGGTCCCGATAAAATCGGGACGTCTGGTCACCCTACATAAGAGCAAATGATCCTTCTGTTTGCAATACCCTCCCAAAGTGTGTCACAATGCCACATGTTGTCAAAGACTGTACATTGCTCACAAACTAAGTAAAAACTGGGCAACAGTGCCACCTGGTGGGGCGCAGCATAATCTAGCATGTTCATTTAAACTGTAATCCTTACAGCAACTAAAGGTCCATACTAAGGCAACCCAGATAGGTCACGCAGGGTGTGAAAAAATCCACACCGCTGGTTGACACAGTTAAGGCCACCCTAACTGCCCACAGTGCTAGGTTGCCAGATCTCTGTCTTGATATTTAAAGCGCTTCATGGGCGCTACCAGACAGATTGCTACCACGCTGGAATAAGTACTCACACGCCCCACCCCCCGTGGAGAGCAACCCATGTTACAGCTAGGCCACCCCCTCGCTTTCCAGGAGGTGCACTGTGAGCTGTGCTAGCTGGCTCTGGGGCCACTAGTTTAACAAGCAGTGGGCTAGGCTAAAGATCTGGCATCAATTGAAAATGAGGCCTCTTAGAGAGCTGTCCATCACCAGGGGGGTGGGGCTGACATACTAGGCCCACCTCCCAGTCTATTTTGCAGGGGGGCCATATTTTCAGTAATTAAACTGGGAAGGACTAGGGGGGGAGAGAGAGGTCACAAGGAAGTCTTTTGCTGGGTGAGGTAAGACACTTTCAAACTGAAAAACAATACAGTAAACAGAAGAGTGGAGAGAAACTTTTAAAAAAATCCTTCTGTAATGCTCCTCGTTCCATCATTAAAGTCTTGTTTTGCTCTACTGGTTTCACTCAGCCAATCGCAGTCCTTGCACTCAACGCTGCCACCTCGCAGGTCATAGCTTCCCCCACCACCTCAGTGTCCTCCATCTAAAGCCGATTATTCTGTCTCCCTAACCACTCCACAGCTCAGGCCCACCCTCTGCAGGGCTGGTTCCTCTAACTCAGAAAACCTAGCCCTAGGTTCCAAATTTGTCCCATGTATTTGCTACTCACTGTCAGCAGGCCTAGCACTCACCCTTTAGGCCTAGAGCAGCAGAAGACTCAGGAGAAGCAGTAGTTTGATGTCTACATTTGGGGAAGGGGCAAGCAGAAGTGCCTTAAGAGTTATTGGGGCCCTGGGCACAAAGAACATTCCTCCCCACACACACACAATGCCCCACCCCCAAGGCCCCTGCCCTGGCCAGAAGCCAGGCATTGGTAAGAGCTGCCCAGGGAGCTGGGGCTGCTGTGGGGAGCCCTGCCCCGGGTAGTGCACCCGTGGGGGGGGAGGGGGGGAGGGGGCTGCGCTTGGGCACCCAGAGCAGCTGGATGGCCCTGAGCAGCTCTTACCAACCACGGGCGAGGACAGTGGTCCCCAAACTGTAGCGCATACCATCCTAGGGGCGGCATGGGAGAATGCAGTGGAGCCAGGGTTGGGCCAGAAGCGCCACCCAGCTCTGGTATGCCCCCAGCTCCGCTCTGGCCCCACCACAGCCCTGGCTCTGCACCGGGCCGCAGCTCCACTCCTGGCCACAACTCCAGCTGCATCGCTCGCACTGACTTTTGCCCCTGACTCTTGCTCCCTTCTCTGGCCCCCCCTCCTGGCCTCAGCCCCAGGGGGGCACAGACTGGGCGGGGGGGAGGGCAATGACTTGGGACCCCTTGCCTAGGCTGACCATTCATCTCGTTTTGGCCCCAGACATCCTGGGCATTTGTTCTTGTCAACGGATCTCCAGGTAGCAAGAGCAAATAGGACATATGCTCAGTTTTGCCAAATAGGGGCTGGGGATGACGGCCGGTGCTCAGGCCAGCTCTGCATTGGGGGGCGGGGAGGCAGCTTGGGCCACCTCAGTGCAGTTGGAGGGGATTTGTGAGATTTGGGACAGCTCTGTGTGCAGGGCTGGAGGGGGGGGGGCGAGAGATGTGTGTGGAGGGGCAGGCACAGAAAACCAGCTGCCCACAAATGGGGTGCGAGGGAAGGGAGAGCGGCTTGGCTACCTTTGTCTGGGGGAGGGCAGGTGGACTACACACTCCGTCCTACAGCTCTATCTGATGCTTGCTGGGAGCTGCCGGGGGGAGGGGGAGGGGAGGGCCTTCTGCCCATGGTGGCTGGAGACCTTCCCCACCACCACCTGCAGAGGCTGGGCTGCTGTAGGAGAGTTCTCCGCTGCTGCCACCAGCTGGGCTGCTACGCTGCCTCAATGTCACTGAGGTCTCTGGACGTCACGGATTCTGTGACATAATTGGAGCCTTACTCACAAAATGTTTTAAGGGTGGATACTACCACAACAATGCAGTTTAGTTTTGGAGACCAATTCCCTCCGCACTCAGAAAGCCCAAAATTAGAAATGTTACTTTCACATGTCACAGTGGTGGAGGACACCATTTTTTCCATCAAAAAAGCACTTTCTGTGATTATACACTGGTTGGTGCTTCCGAAAACCTTTGCACGGTTTAGGGCTGAGTGGAGCAATGTCTAAAAACCTTTAACAATCTGGGCTCAAGTACCTCAGGTTTGGCAGTTATGGAGGCCTACAGCAGGGTTTTTAATGCAATTCTGAGACATCCACATGACATACTCCAAAACATTATGCCACCTAATGCATGTTAAACCCAATCCAGCAAAGCACTTAAACTTAAGTACAAGTTTAAGTACATGGGTGCTTTCAGTAATGTCAACAGAACTATTCACATGCTTAATGATAAAAGACTCTCAATTTTAATGGGAGTTGGATTGGGTCTATACTGAACTGTCCCTCCAGCTTTAATGACATGAGAAGTCCCATGGGATGGTCAGTACCAGTGTGATTAAATTTAGGTACATGTCCAGTCATTTAGGAGCTATGGAGTTCTACAATTAAAGTGCCCGCTCATCTGTGGCAGAAGTCCCAGTGGAGTCAATTAACGTTATAGGTCTTGTAGGTCAGCCTATGTTTGCTGCACTGCTTGTACAATGATGGAATCCAAATAATTGTTTTTATGCACTACGTGATGGTCAGAAACTGTGCTTAATGTGTGCATGTGTACTGGTAAAATGAAAACTAGGATAATAATTCAATGAGGTTTGAGAATAGGCATTTAAAAAATATATAATCCAAGAAACATGATTACCCTTATTTGACATCCACTCCTGGAAACAAAACATACTAAACCAACACCAAAGTATTAATGGGAGAAGATAACCAAAATACTGAAACACCTATGGATATTTTCTTAAATAAGGAGCTCATAGAACTGCCACAAACTTCATTCAAAAGTGCATGGTCTCAGATTCAGAGCAACATAAATTACAACAAACTCTACTTTAATTGTTGGCATTCATTGAGCATTGGCGTGCTAAACCCAGAGTTGTGAGTTCAATCCTTGAGGGGGCCATTTAGGGAACTGGGGTAAAAATCTGTCTGGGGATTGGTCCTGCTTTGAGCAGGAGGTTGGACTAGATGACCTCCTGAGGTCCCTTCCAACCCTGATATTCTATGATTTAAAAGTTAAAGAAATGACAGAGCTATAGAAGTAGTGTAGTAGTAGAAGTTTTTTCTCTACTGCAATCTTAACTCAAAGACAATTTGGATTTAAGATTTCACTTTTAGACCTATAATGTGGACAATTTTGGGTACAATTAAAAAAAACCCAGCGAAATAGAAGAAAAATTCTCAAATATTAAGGATAAGAAAACAGTGGATTTGCATGAATGTTTAAAAAAAACCTCTGCATTTGAGGTTAAATATACTAGCTCTCGTCAACATGATAGACTGTGGCAATAATACACGGATTACTGAGTAAATTCATTCATATTTTTAATACTTATTTTTACAATTTACAAGAGTGTGGAGGTGTAACAGCATCCATTAAAGCCCAAATTTATGTACCTAATTTGTGTGTGCAAATGACTAGTTACGTTCAGTTGCTAATTTGAGCACAAAATAAGGCTCTAATCCTGCAAACCCTTATACCCACACATAACTTTACACATGTGGGTAGTTTAATTCAATGGGTTGCGCCTAAGCATTTGCAAGATTGAGGAGCTAAGTATGTAATTACTCATCATATTTGTGAAAATTTAAACAAACAAAAATCAAGGAAATTTAAAAGGAGAGCTTCCATTTGATTGTTAATTCACCTTCTTGTGCCTTCACAAGTTCAAGATGTTATTAACATGTACCAGATTAGTTAGCCAATATATGTCAAATTAAAAGGCGGTTCAATTGTAAGACAAAATTTGATGCATGAGTGAATGCAAAAAACTGTACATTTATTAACCAATTGTGTAAATTAAAGACAGCAACTGTTTTTTTAAAGTACTCTATGGCTAAGACTTACAGACCAAGTTTGTCTGAAAGTGAACATAAAAAACAAGAGTTTACAATGCAAACACTAACAACCTTATATGAGAGAGAGAGGTAATAGCAGGCACTGCTATACTATATAATTAATTCAGTAATTAGAGGGCCAGATTCTGATCTAATTTACAGCTAATGCACGTTTACACAAGTGTAATTGAGATCAGATTCTAGCTCTACATTTATGCCATAGTGAAATGATATATAGGCGTCATAATAAACAGAAGTCCCCTTTTGTATAAATACTTCATAAATAAAGTATGTAGAGATACAAATATTCATACTTACAACAGTAGCTTAACAGTCTATTTTAGAAGCAAACACTAAAATAATACTTTGTTAAAAATATGCCTTAGTTGAAATGAGCAGAGTAAATTTAAACAGTGTTGCATTAGCTATTCAGTGATGCTACACACCTCAGCAACAATTTGTGTACATCTTGAAGCCTGTAGACCTTTAGTAATGAAAGTAAGTAGAAATTTTTTATGCAAAAAAATAAATAAATAAAAATTGTTAAATACCCAATGTTTGGTACAAATGCTTCATATGCAGATAAGTTACTTTTTATACATTTGTTTAGAAAAATACATGAGATATTTCTACTTTCAACTGGCTAAAAATAAGGATCAGATTATGTATATCCTTGTGTTTTTAAAGGAAGGTTTTTAAAATTACCATCAAGCTGCTATAGTAATCCATTAGGGACTCAATCCCTTACTTCTTACACAAGCAAAATTCCCATTCAAGGAGAACAGTGAGAGCACAAGGACTGCAAGACCGGGTCCTAACTTTGTACAAATGACCAGTTGGTCCATGGCACAAGTGACAACATACCCCCTCTTCCCCCCCCCCACCCCATCTGAAACCTTCTTCAAGATTTAAAATCTGCAGGTTTATTAAACTATCAGACCATCACACTTTTTAGAAAAGAGCTACACTTACAAATGCAGATGCCTATCTGTTAAGCCATCATTTGTTCCAAAAAAATGCACATTCAAACTGTGAAGTCATTAGGAAAATACTCTTGCAAATAAACTATATAAAGATAAAATACACTTCAAAGTTAGTTTTTACATTATTCTATAAAGTGCAGAAAAATCCTTCTAAAAGGGAAATAACTACTCCCTATAACAATAATATAATTACAGCAGCTTTTGCATAGCATTACTTATAGAAAGTTGAATACTGCAGTTTCTTCAGGAAGAAGAGGATGGAAGAGTCTCTTCCAATTCAGGTCTTTTCTTTGAAACTGATCTGTTTTCTTCAGGAATGGTTGATGGTGCCAAGTGTCCATTGAGAGCACTTCTGGAACAGTGAGCAGGTCCTGGTAAGATATTGATTAGTATTTAAACTGTGCCCCAATTCAATCTGTTAACCATTCTGCTTGCAAATATTTCACATAGACAACATTTTTTTAAACTATTGGACGCAATATTTACATGCTCTCTATGGTCTGCATTGAATTATTCTAGTCTATGTCAATGCCTGGAGTAATGGATGAGTAATGTTAAAAGCTACTGAGAACTACAGATAATCATACTATGCAATACACAAATACTGTAAAAGAAGAATCTCTGGGGTGCACGGGAAAATTCAATCAACGGAGCACAACAAAGAGTGTGTGTTAAGAATTAGTGCAGCAATAATCCTTTCACTGAAAAACTCCATTGGGACACTTCAGCCATTAATAAAGGTGTTTGCTTTGTTAAAGGAACCCAGTCTACCGCACATTATACCACAAAGGATGTTTGTCTACCTGATCAGTAGATGGCTCATTCATAATAGATTTAAACACATGGTAAATCAGTCAGAGACTAGTTTCTGCATTTGAAAAATGACACTTTTTCATCAGATATTTAAGCAGCTGATGAGCACAAAGAGTGCTGTTCTCCATGTCAGTCAGAATACAGGGGAATAATGGTACACTATTCAAATGTCACTCTACTTAACAAGATTATGCCAGGTGACTAATGCATTTTAAGGTTACTGGAAGACCTCATGGAGCCTCTGGTAAGTTCTCCATTTCAAATGAAACATCTGTTCTACTTTGGCATTTATCTAGCACCTGGAGAGGTGTCAGAGATGGTCTATCACAGAAAAGTGGGTTGCTAACAGGTCTTTTTATTTCTATATATAGATGCACTGCTTGGAAAGAAAGTCAGGAGCACTCTTTGCTTGGTCTTCCCCAGCCTCATCCTTCTTGGTAGCTTAAATCTTACCCAGTAGTTGGCAGTAAGAAAGTACATTTTATCTTTGAAACTGTGCAAGTCTGATACAGAATCAGTGAGCCAGAATAAACATGGAACTCCACAATGCCCTTTTCCAGTCATTTTTCAAACAAGAACCGCTCTTGAAAGTGTGTAAACACTTTTTCATTAATAAAATGGAAGGGATACAGAATCCCCTACTGAATTTTTGTTATTTTCAATGCCACCTACTGGGGAAAGAAAAGAACTGAATCAACTCTAGGAAGATGGAGCCCTTAAAGTGGAAGACAGAAAAGGGACTCTTCTGTCTAACATGGCAAAAGACAAAAACTACATTAGTGAAAAAGCTAGAAATTGGAGCAGTTCTACAAGGAACAAGAACAGACTGGGATTACACAAAATAACATGACTTGATCTGACCACAGCTGTCACGAGAGAAGACAGACTGGATCATCCATGGGAAGAGGAACCAGACCATGGTCACATAGGGTGGAATTCACCTTTGTTCAAAAGGACACACAAGGCGTAAGCACCAATTAGGGCTTAAGTGGGACTTGAGCAGTGCATAGGCCTTGTGTTGACCTTCTGCACAAGGGCGAAGTTGCCCTCCAAGAGAGGAGAGGCTGGCTCCAAACTGGGTCCCTCTTGAAAGTGACAAACCACAGTTAATCAAGAAGAAAGCAGACCACAGCCTTCCTGATAAAGAGAGAATGGGGTAAAAACAATTGGGAGTTTCATGGGAATACCATAAAGAGACCTTACCTCAGCATATTTACGCAACGGGATCTAGTTATCATGGGATCATTGACACAGAGTATAATAGTCCTAGATTGTTGTTTTGATTTATTGACCATGCTGAGTTGTTTCAGAGGAGTGTTGCTCTGTGTATGGGGTGGGTAGGCACTGGTATAAACTGTTCTTTACTAATACACTGGGTTGTCACATTCTCCTCTCAGTTCTACCAGTGTAACTCCACTCAGTGGAAATTAGCTCCACTCGATGGGACTGCCCTGGTGTAACTGAAACAAGAATCTGACTCACTATAATGGTTAGACTGGAAAGAACTGATCAACATTCTGCATAGGTTTCCAAAATGTTAGTTTATATATGAAAATGTGTAGTTCAAATGTTTGTTGTTCATGTAATCCTTATGTAGAGCACAGTTCTGCCAGATTTACTCACTTTGGGTAGTACCTTACTTTACAAATAGTACCACGGATTTCAGTGGGTCTACACAAGATCTGAGATACCAGTCGAGGTGAGTAAAGGGTGGCAAAGTCAGTCCCATAGTGAATACATCAGCACTTTTAATTCATTACATAGGAATCCTACAAGCAACTTTATTGTTTAATGCAATGGCTCTGATTACATACAAAGATTGTAATTTTAGGTATTCTCCTTGCATTGGTGTTAGCAGTACAACAATTGTGCTAAGTACGGTAACAAATTAAACAGAAGTACACACAGTAAAACTCTCTCTCTTCCAACTTACTCTCTGTATCTTCAAGAGGAATATCATTATAGGATTCTGTATCGGAGTATGTTCTTCTGCGTCGTTGGGATAACCGGTGGAGTGAAGAAATTGGTTCTTTTGTGGCGTTACTACTGCAAATTAAATAGGATTTATTAGTTTTACAAACTTATAATAAACATCTAGCCAGTCTATTAGCTTTTAATTTAAGATATATCTTTTGGTATTTATAGTGCTCTTATTAGATCTATCTTAAAGATAGTAAAGAGCAATACTGAGGAGTAAGCTGAAAGGAACTCCATGTGAACAGAACACGGTTAGCCTGTACAGATTTTGAAATCTGAAAAATGTGATCAGAATATAATTCTTGAAAAAAGAAAAATTCAAATTGTGCAAGAATGAATCATCAAAAATCTTAGTGTTTCAGGCCCCGATCCTGCAAACTCTAATGTGTATAAGCAGGGCCGGCTCTATCTTTTTCGCCGCCCCAAGAGGCGAAGGAAAAAAAAAGCTGCCACCTTCATGCCGCCGCCGCGGGAATTGCTGGAGGAGCTGCCGCCGGCGTGCCGCCAAAAGCCGCTGCATTGCCGCCCCTCAAACCGCCCGGGAAGCTGCCCTTTCCCGTTTGCCGCCCCAGGCACATGCTTACTAGGCTGGTGTCTAGAGCCGGCCCTGTGTATGAGTGACTTTATGCAAGTACAGTTGTCCCACTGAAACTACTTATTTGCATAAAGGTACTCACACACAAGCATTTGCAGTATGAAGGCCTTAGATAATACTTCCATTATTTGCCATAAGATTTGATTAAACAACTTGGATAAGTTATAATAGCAATTCTCTCTGATAAATGGTCATTTTAAATTATACAATTCTACCAAAAACCATAGAAAGATTATGTACGAATTTCTATTATAATGATTATAACAAACAACAGTTGGATTTACTTATTTATTTTGCCAATGTTGAAGTCTCTCCTTGATAATATTTTTATATTTCTTTTTAAAACTAAACTAAAAATATATCAAATTTGGAATATTACTCAGAATAAAAATGGAAACAAACTTTACTAGTATATTTTTGACTTGTATGTAAGTTGCAACATTTGTGTCTTAATTTTGGATTTGCAAAACTATTGATATTGGTTTAAAATTTAGAAAGTAACAATCTATTTGCCAACCCTGCAAATCCTCTGCATAGTGACTTCAGCTGATATTTCCCTACTGGGGGGCTTGCTGGATTGGTCCAATGAGGTGCTTTCAGAAAGTCAATTAGCCTACTTAACAGCAATTTTTATTCTTACCTCCCTGAACTGTATGTACCAGGATGGCTAATGGAGCGTTTCATCTAGAAAATGAAAGAAACAAGTTTTAAACTCTTTATCATGACTTATAAAATGCTTATACACAGCCATATACTCTATTTATACTTCTCAGAGGGAGAAGGTGATTTTTTTAAATTATTATTTAAAACAAAAATCAACCGCAATTAAGGAATCTTATTTAGCTATTTGAAAGAGGATAGATTGCTAGTAATGCAGGAATTTTTAAAGCACTAATAAAAGAGAACTAGTTTACTACCCAAAAATATTACCTGGGATATATACATCTCATTCTCTCTTGCCTCAAAAATTACTCAAATTTCTACTGGATCATTGGTAGAATCCACAGAAACCTCAAAACATTTTTAACTAATGCCAGGTTCAAGTCTACATTATACAAAAGGATTAATCCAAGGGCTAAATTTTGCCATCTGGTATGCACACAGGGAGCCCTCTGATTTCAATGAGAACTCTCTAAATGTGCCCAAGAGAATAATTTGATTAATTATTGATTATTAAGAGTCACTTGGGTGGATGGGAGGAAAGGGAGGAGATCATCAGATACAGATAAATGAAAGGGAAAGACAGGGAGGAAAAAAACCCTAGAACAGAGTAGATCTGAGAATCCACATATATGAAATAAAATTTGACAGAGCCTCACTTATCCCAACCCCTCAACATGAAAATAAATAAATAAATAAACAAATTAAGAATTCCATAAACTATTTTAATCTTGCACATTATTTAACAAACTTGTCAGCTAACAGCATATTTAATCAACCAGGATATTGTTTAAAAAGAGACATATTAACACTGGGAATCTGAATGGCACTTGCTGAGAGTTAAGCCACAAAGAAGTTCTCTGTTTCGATGAGCAGCCAGGTTACAGTATTAAAAGAGAACAATGAATATTTAATGTTTTAAAAAAATAACCTTGCAGTATAGGTAACAGGATAATTCAATTTTCGTATGAATGCTGCAAAGTACTGAGCGTTAATCCAGTACTTGGGTACGATTAGCATTGTCATCATCCACGGGAGAATTACTCCTACGATGAACAGTTTATGTGAAGTCTGGCAAGCAACCAGGCTAGGGAACATGTCAGTAGTGCTATACATTTAAGGCTAAAACTGTTGACTTCAGTGGAGTCAGGATTACACGTGACTATATAGCATATATTCTTCTACCCTCCCAATCAATAGCATAACACTTTAAAATGTTACTCTTATAAAACATCCAGACCATTTGAATAGGTGAAGGTGACACAGGAGAAACTAAGGGATCAGGATGAGGCAGTTGAAACATCTCTGGCTTAAACTTGGCATTAGCTATCTTCACACATTCTTCAAGTGTTGTAATAAATGTGTTACATGTGGCACTGAGCAAGGAGGAGGCTTCATTCATGTTCTGAAAACAAATGATAGCACAAACATCAGCAACAATGTAAAAAGAGACCGAAAATGTTACTTTAGAATCAACTGGTTTCCCAGTTAACTGGCCAAAATTCTCAAAAAATACAAGTTTGGTGACTATACTTTTTAATGGTAGCTAGAATCAACCTTATTGAAAAATGAACAAACACATATGATAGCAGAAGACTATTTTGGGAGGTTGGGGCAATACAGCAAAACACTGCAATGTTTTTCCTGCTTCCTAAATACAAAGAACTTTTAGAAGGATTGAGCAGCCATCACTTCTACTGGAGTCATCAGTTTATTTTCTATTTAGTGAAATAAGTGAATTAGAGTGGGGCCCACCCATTAGATCTATTATCTTTCCTAGTGAAAGGAGTCTCTGCATCAAATTCAACCCTGCTGTAAGTGGGCACAATCCTACACTCATCAGTGAAGTGGCCCACCTATTCCAGGGCTGAATTTGGTCATGAAGTAGGATTAGAAGAGCAAACATTTCCTATGAATGTCCAAATTCAGTTTGCAGCAGTTTTCAAGACCTGGGATTCTAGTTTGCAAAGGTAAGGGAGGTTCTAGCAATGGTATAGATCACTTACATAGGAAGCAAAGCATAAAGAAACAGGATGTGTCAATTATTGTGTATTGTAGAGTTCTTAGACAAGGAGAATTCATGTGCAACCAACCCAGCCAGCTTTGCTTCTGTCTTTTAACTGAATGACTCACCTACATATCTGCTGGTTAATATGCACTCTGATGTCATTGTGCATTGTATCTATATAATATCTTTTAATGTGGACTGTATTACCATACTCCTGAAACCAGTGTATGGGCATCTGAATATAGACAATTTTTAAACGTCTATTAAACTGATCTTATATTTTCCAACATTAAATTGTAAATATTTTCCAACATTAAGTTGCTGATAAGGTGCATAAGGTGACAACAAGAATTTAACATGATTTAAATAATCAGGTTCTCCAGTATAATTTTAGAAATCTGATACCTCAATGCTGGGAGATGAGCGACTCTCATCATGGTGAACAAATTCTTGTATTGTATGAACTTGCTGCATTAAGAGATCACAGTAGAGGCGAAGTTCGGACATTTTGGTTTTAAGAGATTCATTGGTTTCACTAATTTCTACAAGAAAAATAAAATAATTAAAAAACCCTATCAATCACAGCATAAGACTTATCTGCACAATTGTTACAAACAAACTGAAATTCCTTTCAAGACTAGGAAGGGATTCTTAAATGAGTTGGAAATGGTTTCATAAAGTATATGTAAATTTGGAAGGGACCATGGAGAAAGGTATATAACCAGCAAACAAGAGGTAAAATATTTTCTCATTTACTGTGTCATCCCAGGGAGCACACAATGGACAAAGTCTGTGGCCTCAACAGCTGAAGGAGGTCTGCTCCCCTCTATCCACAAGCACCTGAGGAGAGCGGTTACTCACTCAGGGAACCTTGCAAATGATAAACCTTCAGACTGGCTACACAGGATTACCAGTCTTTACCAAGAAAATCTAGGGAGGCAGAAATGGGGATTATGGAGAGAAATCAGAACAATGGCAACCAAATGACTCCCTAACAGCTACAACCAGCGTTTTGAGGGTGGCAGATCTAGATTGTTTAAGTTTTAGCCCTTTACGTAACTAAGAGCTCGCCAGCAGCAGGAACAAAATACTATTTTTCCATCACGTTTGCTGCAGGTTTTGTGTTAATTTCATATTTCCTATGCTGTATAACCTAGTATTGTAAACAGTGTTAATAAATGCTGTGACAGTTCTCCTGACTGCCTATTTAAAGATGTGCCCGTTCTGTCTTTACAGGCCTTTTCTGCACTACAGAATTACAGGATAACATTCTCACTGGAGCTGAATTCTTGGTATTGCTGAGAGAGGTTTAGTATATACATGCCTCCAGTGGCTTCTGGTTTTCTGTTTTGTTTGTTTGACACCATGACAGTTAAATCTGCTGCTCAAGTTTTAACTAACAGAGGTAAAAATGCTGGAAATCACCAGAGCCTTGTCTAAACTAGGGTTCCCACTTGTGCTGGTCCAGCTAAAGGAAATATATTCCAAAAATTCTGTATCACAGACACAACCTAAATGACACAAAACCAAAAGGTGTATAGCCATTATGAACAGAGCTGTTCTGATCACATTAGCTGGGCGGACAAGACTGTGGGCTGAATCACATCCTCTGCTTTTAGAAGTGGAAGGCAGGATAATAAAAGCTGAAACTCATGTAATTTCCTTGTGCTCTTGCAGTGGGTCTGATTTGGTCCAGTGTTTTTTAAGATTAGACAAAGGACATAAGGAAACCTTTGTGTCATTCCTAGATGAGGCTGGGTGACTGCACTACTGCAGTGCAACTTTGGTTGTCCATTCAGGCTGTCACATGGGCAAGCGCTGAATACACACAGAACCACAGCACAGGGCAGAGAAGCATGTGATTGATTTCTATATTCTTCGTGAGATAAGAATATGATTCATACACAGATGGTTCACCATTGTCTTGGGCAGATTTGAGATTTGGAATACCATTACTACAATGTATGTAAGCAAGTACTATTGCCCAAGTTTATGGCTTGGCTTTTCAAAGGGGCCTAAAGGAGGTAGCCCAGGGACTTCAGTTCAAAATCCCAGTCAACACATCTGCAAGTCAGATAATTGTCAATAAAGGGGCAGATCCTCACCTGGTGCAAACTGACATAGTTTCTTGAAGTCAATGGAGTTAACACTGACTTACACCAGCTGTGGATCTGACCCTTAGTTTTTAATAGCAACATTTCTATGATTCTGGTAGGGCCAATATCTGGAACAAGACAAATCTGAACATAACATAGAAACCCAAAACAGGGAGAAACTCTGACAACCAGCAGTGTAATAAAACTCAGGAGTAGTAAAGTGAAGTCAGAAGCAAGTTGCACATGAGCAATATAAGAAGTGATTTGACCTACCTGATGCCATACATTTACAATATTTTAAATATTTTTCCTTGCTCAGATATATCTTTGCATGGCCAGTCAGACATCTTCGAGTCAGAAGCTGCCAGCGTACTGCAGAGACACTCACTGAGCTAATTAGACTGGCAAAATTCATAATTCTGAGGAGCAATGCCAGCTGAGAGATTTTTAAACTCATCCATTTCACCATGTCTAGTGATAGCTTTCGATCAAAGTACTATATTTAATTAAAATGAGCTCATATTTATACACACACACACACACACACGTAAAGGGAATTGGACTACTTAGAGAAATACAGTAACAATAATTCTTCCTTTCTGCTAACTTTAGCGAAGGCTGATCAGTTATTTTCCTGTTCCCCTTGGAAATTACAATTTAAATATAAACCAAAAGTTATTATATGCACACAACAGGGATTACATCCATAATTAAGATGTATCAATATATTTATGGATATATAAGTTAGATTTATATCTTACATAAATAATACTAAATTCAACCACTAGAATGGGACAAATTAAGAACCATCTTAATCAAAAACAATTTTATTAGATTTCATACACTTTTAATGGTACAAATACCTTTTTCTTTTTTTGTTCTGGTGTCTGTCAAACAGGCTTTAGAACTACCCAGTGCTACCAGCCATCTCTGCCTCTCAGCTGCATTAACTGCTTTCATATAAAAATGCTGTTCCCCTGCGATGATTAACTCCATTCTTGTGTTGTCTGTTGGATGAACTAATGATAAAAAGGGAAAAAAGACTAATTTTGCAAACGATAACTAAACCAGTAAGGATACTATACAGACCATATTATTTCAAGTTATTTACATATTACACATTGCATTTGGTAAGAAACGGAAGCTATTCAAAACAATTTTAAACATTGTATGAATTTGAGATTCATGAACATAATTGACTAAGTAATGGCTAGAGCCAGACACAGTGTGGACAGATACTGTGCAAAATTCCCTCAAAATACTGCCAAAACATTCCTCGCCCGAAATACCACTGTTAGTCTAGTCCTGATTCAATCATGCCAACCTGAAGATTTTTGTGATGTGGGCAAATATCTCTGAAGGACTAGACTAAAATCAATCTCACTTTCCTTTCTGATGCAAGTTTCTGGGCTCTGTGTCAAAGTCACCATCCTCCCAAGCCTGAGAACAGAATATTACTCCACTTAGAGCCATCGTATTCAATATACTACAACTTTAATCAGCCACAGATGTCACAGAGTACCAGGCATATTTCTCAACCACAGTACTCCCAGGTCTAGGACTGGACAGCCCTGGGTCCATGACAGATGGAATTAATCCCAAATTACTGGCATCTATCTATTACTGTTCCTTCGTACTATAGAAAATGAACAAGCAGACAGGAAAGGGGGACTGAATGTTTCAAGAGATTAGTAATGAGACATAAGCCTTTCACTCCTAGGTCACTGGTTTCAACCTAGGCACTAGCAGTAGTAACCAAAAGTTGTTGCCATCCGATAACTGCTTGCTGGCCTATATAAGAAAAGTAGATGGACTCGGTCCATTTTCTAGTGGTCAGGTATCCACATCACAAATACCTCCACAAAGGTGCATCAGAAAAAAAGGCCAAAGGCAGAAAGTAATGGAAGTAATGGCACCCACCAGATCACTGCTGTGGCTTTCCCAGCAAACAATTCCTAACATTCAGCATTACCTCCCTCTGAGTTTGGGAGGGAGAAGAGCTGTAGCTATGGTAACAGCTTCAGATGCCTTCATTTATGATATTTCCAATGTAAGACATAAACAGAAAAGTTCTTAATACCCTAGGGTTTATATGGCTGTTTTTAAACCTCATAAAGGAGCAGTAAATATCATAACCTTTTTCATTATTATTTTGCTTCAGAGTTCATGTTCAGTAACTAATTGGGGTTGATGTAGCAAGCACGTCTGACTAAACATGTGTAGATGTGATTTTTCCCCTTACCTTTTTTAAGCATCCTAGAAATTAATGATGCAAAAGTGGTATTAGGTCATCTTGTTCATCCCCTTGCCAATTAAAATTTCCTCTAATAAAAACTTATTTAAATCTTACCTTTAATTTCACATACTGCCATCTTTATGCTTCCTTTACTGCCTTTGCAAACATCATCTTGTGAATCATAGTAGGACAATATTCCATTGTCTAAAACAAACCAGCGAGGCTGCCAACCTAGGAAGACCATAAATATGAGAGAAGAGTGTTATACTAACTGTTTAATTGCAAATGCAAGTGCAATCAAAAGTAAAGCTGTTTGTCTGTTAAACCATTAAGAGAAACAGGATTTACACAGATGCAAATACTACTGTGATGTTCACAGGAAGTAAAAGAAGCATCTTCGTTTTGAAGATCAGATGTGCTGTATACACGAACTATTATAAAGATATTTTACACTAACTCTTTTTGCAATGTTTCATTAGCAATAATATTCCCATTTATATTATCTCCCAGTTTACAGAATAATGATATTTTTAATTTAACTGCCAAAAGTATCCTATTTTGAAGTCTTGTAAATCACAGACTTCTTGAGGACCATCATCTTTCAAGTATATTCTTCAGTGGGCCTCAATAAGATTAAGATTAACTACATAATGAACCATCAGGCTACAATCTCTGCTCCCTACAGTACTACACACTCTATTTCACACTTCCTAATCTATAGATCCCGCACACACTCTCTCTCACACACACATACCCTCTCATGCACAAACACAAAAAAGGTGGTTTCTACCCCATTGCTCAAAAATGATTTAATATCAGAACACTATAATGGAGTCATCTACTACTAAGACCTCGTCTATACTAGAAAGGGTTTGCCAGCATGGCTATACTAGCAAGCCTTCCTAGTGGAGACGCAGCTTATATTAGAAAAAAAAAAGAAGAGCGTTCTTTTGTTGGCATAGCTTATACCAGTTCCGTGAATGAAAAAGACACACTGGCAAAGGGACTTTTTTGCTGATATAACTGCATTTACACTAAGGCTTTTGCCAACACAATGACTTTGGTTAGGGAGTTTATTTCTTTCATGCTACTAACCAACATAGGTATGCTTGCAAAACTTTTACATGTAGACCAGGTCTCTAACTTCACTACTTCTGCAAAATATATTACAGTACTTATATGCACTAGTACACTATGAAGTGTTATCCTAATATTTAGGGCTAAACTAGAGTTATCAAATACATAAATTATATGCAGATACAGCATACTTGATTTTATTAAAGCTCTTTTTATAGGCTAACTTGCCAACTCATAAAACTCTGTACTTCACAATAGATATCCCAGTCATTAGTGCTAATTAACATAACTCACCCTACTACACTGGCCCATTTCAAACTATGTCAAAAACAGCAGATATTTTGTAAATAACTGAAAACAAAATAATAAGTCAGTGTAGCACAACAAGAACACCAGTTCAACAGAGGATTGGGACTGGGGAACCAGGTAGTAGGAAAAGGTGATGCACTCTGTCTCATAGTGCTAGCACCATCTTACCAGTCTACTAAATAGCCACTTTCTGGTTATCTATGAATTAGAATGGCACTGACTGTGGTGCCATGAACCTACTGACCAAAAGGACAGTGCAGTGCACAGCATGGATGGCTGCATTATTCCACAAGAGCAAACTGAAGAAATCCAATAGCAGTGGCTTTGAAGGGAGGAAGCTGAATCGTATACTGACAAGCTTCAGCTAGAGGTCTGATCCTTAGAGCCCTGCACAGATACAAAAATGTCTGCAGATATCTGCAGATTTGCAGGGCTCTACTTACCGTGGCAGGGCTGAGGCTCCAAGGCACCCCCATGCGGACCCTCCACCTGCCCTCGAAGAGGCAGGGAGCCTGGGGAGCAGGGACACGGCCGGGGCTGCTCTCAAACACACACCCCGGGCAGGTGAAGGGTCTGCGCTGCAGTTCCTCATAGCTGGCTGCCCAGCTGTTACCATCAGAGCCCTGCGCGGATACAAAATTTGTATTTGCACCCACGCTGCTATCCACAAAAATGGTCCATGGATATAAAGCGGATACCCGCGGATTTGCAGGGCTCTACTGATCCTGCTCCCATTAAAGTCATTATGAGTTTTATCATTGATTCAATGGGAGCAGAAGCAGGACCCAGTGCTGGGTGCCACACCTTCTGGACAGGGAAAGAAGAATGTGTACCAGAATCTTTATGATATGGTCTACACTAAGGCTTTTGCTAGCACATCTACGTTGGTTTAATTTTTTCCCCCAACATAGAAATGCTGGCAAAACTTTTACGTATAGACCAAGCCTCTGACTTCAATACTTCTACAAAATATACTACTGTACTTATATGCACTAGTATACTATGAAGTGTTATCCTAAATATTCAGGGCTAAACTACAGTTATCAAATAAATAAACAAATACATGCACCTACATGCTTGATTTTATATCTTTAGGATGTTCTGAATCTCATCCACCCACCTCTGTACTGTGAGCTAAATAGGTCTGACAGCTGAAGAAAATAAATAAATAAACAAACAACCTAAAATGCAGTATTGAATACTAGGAGAAGGATACCAGTAGCAACAGATTTAGAATTACAGAGGCACATCATTATGTACATTAAAAAGACAGAAATTACAGTCAAACATGTCTACTTTTTAAACAGAATGACAGAATTGGTGGATGAAAAAAATGCAATAGATGCAGCATCTAGATTTTAGTAAAAGCACTTGGTGGCATCTCCCAAAAAACACTGCCATTTAGACTTGAAAACCAACTGAAAGAACTAACTAAACTGCAGTGCACACGTCAACTTTGGAGGAAGATGTTTGTAATGGGGTATTGCAGAAGCTGGTGATAGGTCTAGTTATATTTAATATCTTCATTAAAGATACTGATGAAGTGGGCGAGATTATCATGACAGGAAGGGGCAGCAAACAGCAGTGACAACAATTAATAACTCAAAGGATTCTAGACAGGTTACAAATATAGAAAGGAAATAATAAATGAAATTCAGCCAGGAATATCAAAAGTAAATACATCAGGAAACAAATAATCCATAACATAGACATTCTATAGGAAGGAGAAACTTGGCAAACATTAACCCTGAGAGAGACTTACAGCTAAGGGATATCATTGTGTTATTATTATTTACAACTTTAACATAGTACTCAAAAGAGTAGATCTCACAGTACAAATAAACAGACATGATCACTTCCCCTCCAAAAATTTACAATCTAATGTCAGACACCAGCAGAATTAAGGGGGCCACAACAGGGAGGAGATAGGAGCAGAAGGGCAGGGTTAATAGCAATAAGATTGCCTGGCTACTCAGCAAAAGGACATGAAAAGCCTGGTGGGGAACTCTGTTTGTTTGTTTATTTTTGATACATTAATTAGAAAACTTTGCAATGCAGGATGGCAGCAAAAAGGGCCAACGTAATCTTAAGTGGCATTTGTAGAAGGCAGGAAGGCAATAATCCTCTATACAGGTGTGGCAAGACCACACCTGGAATACTGCAGAGGGCATTAGGAGGCCAGCAACAAGAATGGGTTTGGGGCTAAAAGGAATTGACTTGAACAAAGACTGAAAGGGCTAAATACGGATAGCTTGGCTAAGTGCTGGATTTAAGAGACTTCTATTAAAATTTAACTTTTAAAATTACCGACATTATTGGCACCTTTTAAAACATGATCTTATTCTCTCCCTGACTTGTTGCACAGGCACAGGACATTTTGGTGTACAGACTATCCCAGGACTCCTGGGTCAAGGCTTGCAATTAACAGTAGCAGCAGGGATTCGGGACAACAGCCCAAATAATCAGGAAGAACAACAATTAGACTCATTATAGCCTGGCCAATTTGTGGTATGTCTATATGATGCACTGTAGCATAGTGGGAGCATGCTTGACAAACCTGAGATCATCCCAACTCGCAGATGAAATGTGACAGCAAGAGACAGCATGAAGAAACAATGGTCCCAGATCTGTATTACTCCATTTCTGTGTTTAGCACAGGAATGATAGTAGGGAGGTGCAAAGATAACGTTACCCCATCTTGATGTCTACTTCATACTGGGATTGTTCAGGGACCATTTGGGGCCTGGTTCGGTCCCCTCTGGAGTAAGCCAGAGCAGTCTCAGTGGTGCTCTACCTTACACTCTATTTCTCTTGGCCCTTTATATGCTGCAGGGAACAAAGAATAGATGCACCTGCTCCTTCCTTCATAATGCAAACTACACTGAGAGATGGGAAGAGGGCATTGTAGAGCTGCTCTGACACCTCTTTGCCAGCTGGCTTACAATCCCCCCCTTACACTGGGGGTATTCCTCTGATCTCATTTATACCTGTCACATTCTGGGGTGCAACCCAGAACATCTACCCTGCAACCCTGGGTACCTGACAATGATTGGTTGTTGTAGCTCCCAACCTGGTCTGCTCACAAACAGCATGAAAGTCACACCCTGAGTGTCTGTGTATAGCTGCAGCCCTGGTCCAGCAACTCTGACCCCAGCAGTCCGTCAGCAACACACCAGCCACATTCTAGCTTCCAGCAGCCTTAGTTACTACTCGCAGGGTGACGCCAACACACTCCCAGTCCCTAATTTTCCCCAAAACATGCATTCTGCACTGTCCAACCTTCTCCTGGACAGTTCAGATATTATAGGTCCATTGCCCCTGTTAGGGTTGCCAACTTTCTAATCGCACTAAACCAAACACCCTAACCCCACCCCTTCCTTAGGCCATGCTCATACCCCACCCTTTCCACAAGGCCCTGCCCCCTGCTCACTACACTTCCCCACCCTCACTCACTTTCACTGGGCTGGGGTATGGGGGTTGGGTGCAGGAGGGGGTGAGGGCTCTAACTGGGGATGTGGGCTCAGGGTGGGGCCAGAAATGAGGGGTTCAGGGTATGAGAGGGGGCTCTGGGCAGAGGTGCAGGCTCCGGCTGGGGGTGCAGGCTCATTGGGAAGTGGGGCCGGGGTTGAGGGGTTTGAGGTTCAGGAGGGGGCTCCAGGCTGGGGGTGGAGCAGAGTGGTTCAGGGTGTGGGAGAGGGCTCTGGGCTGGGGATTGGGTCTGGGGGTTGGGGGGGGTGAGGGCTCCATCTGGGGGGTAAAGGCTCTGCGGTGGGGATGAGGGGTTTGGGTGCAGGAGGAGGCTCTCGGTTTGGGGGGGGCTCAAGGCTGGGGCAAGGGGTTGGGGC